TAGTAATATACTATACTACTATATATATATATATATATATATATATATATATATAGTATATATATATATATATATATATACTATATATATATATATATATATATATATATATATATATATATATATATATATATATATATATATATATATATATATATATATATATATATATATATATATATATATATATATATATATACATATATATATATATATATATGTATATATATGTGACTAACCCGGCCTATGCATTGATATAATACTTTTCCCACGTGACCCCACCCACAGCCACTACTGCACGGATCCCGGGAAGTTTGTGTCGGTGCTGATGACCTCCCTCTCCACAATGCTGCAGATAGCCCTGCCACACATCAACGTGCTGTCTAAAGTGGATCTGATAGAACGCTACGACAAGCTTGCTTTTAATATGGATTTCTACACGGACGTCTTAGATCTTAATCATCTGCTGCACACCTTCTCTGAGGATCCTTTCCTCCAACGGGTATGCACCTACAGTTGTACTAGATGTATCGGCGTAGTGTGTGGGTGTGTATTGGTATGGGTGGAGATAGGTATGAGGCTCAAATTGTACCTGGGCCTTGCTCAACTCTGTGACTTTGTGTTCAGGTCTGGTATACTAGTCCCATTATTTGACCCGTCTCTATCAACTAACTCTCGGCCGCACACACGTGTGCGATGATACTATCTGTATGTCTTATTGCGTCTCTGATGCGCACTGCATAGCCATTCCACGAGTGGTTATACCAGACAAACCGAAACACCTTTGTTTCGGCTCCGCACATGGGCAGACTAGTTTTTTTTTACAACAAACCTCGTTGTCTACGCATTGAATTCGTTTTACTTTGTCAAACTATTGCATTTTTCTCACGTTGTCGTACGCGCGTGGCATTTACAAATGCGTTGTCAACCGTCAATCAGGGTGCGTGCCAACCCACCCCCGCAACCACCTCCGACCGACGTGATGTAAGCCGCATGCCGTGTCCACACGAGTCACCGTAGGTACATGCCACAATGAATGTTTCATCGATGCGTACTGGCACCTTTGTACATCCTCATTTGCGTCTGTCTTCTATCTAAACCCCACCCCCTTCACCCTCCTCCACAGTATAAGAAATTGAATTCAATATTATGTGAGCTGGTCGAGGATTATGGTCTCGTCAACTTCTATCCGCTTAATGTTCAGGTATGTTCTGTCATGGGGGTATGGTATAATTATTCTGGGTGTATTTCCCTGGTACTCCACAATGCACTTACAAGCAGTGTCACCGATGTCCAGATGTTCCGGATGGAAGCCGAAGCCATGTTTCAGCCGAACTAAGATATACTTGAGCACATAAACCAGTACATAATTGCTCACCTGCTTGTAATATCATACTTCAACCATCACAGGATCAGGACAGTATGCTGGTACTAGCTAAAGCCATAGACAAAGCCAATGGGTATATATTCGGCGGCCTTGATGGCATAGACTCAAACCCCTTTGAAATAACCCAAGCCGCGATACCTAACCAACTGGATGCATTAGATATGCGAGAGAGGTTTATAGACCGCTTCTATGAGCAACCGCCAGAGGATAGTGACTCTGAATAAACCAGAACTCCATATATATTGGGAAGCAGTAGCTTTGAGGTTGATTAAGGTGCCACAAGTATGCGTATTGCTTTTACAGCACATGACCGTCATCGTAGTATATCCCGTGCAAAATACCCTAAACGGATAAGTAGGACCGGGCCAAAAGACCTTTAATTTGCTCTACCCATTTGGAATCCTCTTAGGGGTGCGAGAGAGTCGTTGTCCGCGAATGTGTTTGTGCACCGCGGCCAAGAAGCCTAAGACAGTCATTTGGAAATCTTGGCGTATATTCATTGTTCCATTTCGCATGTCTAAAGAGTTTTATTCCGGTTTCTCACACTCGATACCCTTTTCCAAATCTAGTCTCAAAATTGTTTGTAGGTGGAGTAGCTCACGTAGATCAATATAATGCCACAGACACGCGCAACATATATACATGCAACTCCTGTACGAATACATCAGTTTACACGCATCCAACGGTAGGTGACTGAAACATGCGGCAGATTGAATTTATCTGTCTTCCGATTTCATCGCCACAGGGCGACTCCTTTGCTGCAGGGCGCGTATATTGACGATCGGGTTGATATTCGATCACCTGATGCAAGATAGAGCCACATGTCAATCATAAAACGTTATGCTCCGGTGTATATTTATGTTGGTGAAATGAATTCCCATCATGACCCTCTAGAAGTGTAAAATTTAAGGGAGAACGGACAAGTCCGTAGTGTTCCCATTTGATGTAACGTATCCCGAAACCCATGAATATGAGAAGGTCCCAATTACCAAGAATGCTTGAGCCTGCCTCCACTATGCCTAACTCTTCACCACCACCACTATTTTAAATTTATTTCCTCACTTTATTTCGATGCGGAATTGACCGAAATGACTGAACGTCACATCTGATACAATTTTATACAAACTCAATCCGAGAGGAAAAACAAAATAGCACGATTCCAAATTTCAAATTTCCAATTTCCAATAGTGATTTCTGCGCGCAAATCGCAATCGCCAATCGCCAATCAAAATAACACGAATTTAAATTTCAAATTTCAGATTTCCAATAGTGATTTCTATGCGCAAATCGTAATTATATATTGAGAAAATATTGGGAAGGTAAGCGATAAATATTGACGTCTTATGTGAGAATCACCAACTTTCGGTAATTTCGTAATTTCGTTGTCACATTATAAATACGATGCGTAATTCATTGGTGTAAAAAATATATATGCGATATACTGATTGGGCAAAATAAATCGTCCAAAAGAACTAAAAAGGGGTGCAATGTGCATGTAAGAGACCTACCTGCCGACACTGGCGCGACCTCGAATGTCGCGCCATGTCGACTCTACAAGGTGCGACAAGACGGTCGCGACATGTCGATTGTCGCCAAGGCATGTCGCCAAAGCCATAAACAAGACGCGTCTTTATATTTTACCAGTGCACCTTTTAAAAAATACGCGGTGCGATGACTCTCTAGAGTCTATAGAAGTGATTATAGGAAGCGTATTTATCTACAGGTGAGCATTTTTTGGAAACATGTTGATAAAACACGCCTGGGACGCCACGGCGACTGAAAGCATATACTTCCTTATATCATATTTGTTCATATTTGTATTCTGTCTCAAATGGGCAAAATAGCGTCACAGACATTTTTTTAAATTTAACTTTTAGTCTTGCGATCACTTTGTCTAAGTCAAGTCTCTGGCGAGTTATCCACCACTGACTGAGGCTGACTTTTGTCGTGCAATCACTGTGTCTCAGTCTAACCTAAACCGGTTTCCGTTAAACTATTATAAATCGAATAAATATACGTTTACATTCAACTTTTATTTCATATGCGGTCCTTTGTATGCTCATAGGTGCAAACTTGCGGGTCTAAAAATTTGAGTGTGTACCTTATTCACTCTATACAAACCAGTCCTATGAAAGAACTTAAATAGGCTCTTCTGATCACATTATAACCGTTATAACGTTCTAAAACTGAATAAATATGCGTTTACGTTAGACTTCTATCCCGTACCCCCATAACGTTATGAGCTTAGGTCTCAGTGTCTGACGTATAAGTCGCCAGTTATCCACTTTATCCGTGCAACTTCGACCACTGAGTTTGACAACTTCAAGTCTGACGCCCGTATTGCTTCGTCACTCTGTTACTCTGAATTTCCGTCCGTTTATAGGTAATTTTTATTTATTTAAAAAAATACACACTATAGAACAACATTATTGTCTAAAACGCTAAATAAAACCCTTGGAGGCAAGGTGAAGCGACAGACATAGTGGTCGCAAGGTTAAGTGACAGATTTAGTGATCGCAGTTTTAAGTCGCACGAAAACCGCGTCAGACTTGGCGTCAGACATATGTAGTGGTCGCAGACTAAAAGTGGGACGTTTAGTGGTCATATAGGGGTTGACAACAACAAAGTTGGCTTTTGGAGACGGGGTAATTTTTTTTTACCATAGAGGATTAGAGGTGGAACCCAGAGGTACATGAAATATATACCTTCATTGGTCGTTAAGGGCTTAAAATGTTCGTCTCAACGAGTTATTCACGCATTTTTAACCTCATCCTGATCGGCCTATTGGTTCAAAAGTTAAGGCTTATACTAGTTTCTACTTTCAAGTTTATACCAGAACTGCAAATCCTTAAATTCAGAGGGCCGTGCAACTGCTATCAAATATACATTCTCCGATGGGCTATTCCATAGTCTTCTATTTTTGTATACGTACTATTTTTAAAAATAAAAATATAAACATCGAGCTTGATAATGATAGGCAGAGGCTATGAAATTAATAATAAATGTTTATATATAAAATAGCTGCCAATTTTGAATTTTCCCACTCTCGAGAATTTTGCAAAGAAATCATTTCAAATCTATGATGATGGCCCACGCTAACGCGGTAAATAACGTTCCAGGGTTTGATTTAAGCCTGATGCAGAACGTACTTTTACAACATGCGACCCAAATTGCCGAATTTTTGATTCTCTCTACGCATGTGGAGGTTAATGATGACAAAACATTTTCCCCTCTGATGAGACCGATCCCAGACAATGTCTGGACGGCTGCTGAACGAACAATCGAAATAAGCTCGCTTATTCGGGGAAATCCAGGATATTCATGAACACGCCATACTCCCAGGGTATCAGAAAACGCAATCAAGTGTAGTCCAGAACCGTATCCTAGATCGCCTGAATTGACCACCTCATATCCAGACAGCTATCATAACAGTGATAATCAAGACAGGGAAATGCTACACAGTGACATTTCATTCGGAACCCCAAGCCAACATAGCAGTGATGAAGGTTCGTATTACTCGCCAAAATTCAAAATGGATCTAGATATGAATATGTTCGAAACTACAAACGAAATCTCCGGTATATTTACGCCTACAATGCTGGAGTCAGACTCTGCGAGAATAATACACCAAGATACAACGAACAATTATCAGGGAGTAATGAGGGACTTGAGTGGAAGAGTAGACACCGCCACGCTCCTTCCCGACATTGTCCTCGACACAGAGCTGCACAACTACTCACTTCCGACCAGTGGTCGCCATTCACCTGTTGTACACTCAGACATAAAGGCCAAAATGAACAACAACAAAATGAACGATGTAAAATCATTCATACTACCAAGCAGTCGTCCTCAACGGGCCGCTGCCTGGAAGGTTGTCGACAAAGCACATGGTACTATGCAAAAGCTCAAGAAAGCTGGCATCGATACAAATGAAAAGTGGCAGACTGGGTTAAAAAATGTGGTGCCGAAAGTCCACCTTGAAACAGTGAGGGATATCATACTGACCCTGAAGCTTGGCACAAAACAGTCCCACTCCGACTACATTCCTGCCCTTGCAGCTCTATTGTACTTCAAATTTTGTAGCAGTGAACTACCACTCACCCTGGACGAGTGGCGCGGTAAGGTGAGAAATGTTTACGAGAACAATGTAATCGAACTGCAACGTGAGAAGTGTTTACAACAATATTGTAGTCGAACTGACGATACGCGGTCTACAGGAAGTCTCGGATGAATTATTTAAGGATTAGGGAGAACGCAACACTGGCACCTCTTGAATAAATGCAAATCTAGCTCAATCACAACATGCATTACGTTTAGCTATTGAAGTTCATACAAAATTGATTTATAAATTCACAAAAATTGTACAACACAATTATATATATATATATATATATATATATATATATATATATATATATATATATATATATATATATATATATATATATATATATATATATATATATATATATATATATATATATATATATATATATATATATATATATATATA